TTCTAAAAATGGTAAACACGGTTTAATGTCGAATTCGCCAACAGAGTCAGTTCTTGCGGATTGTTCTTTAAGGAAATGACTTGTTGACTCTATTGTGTTAATAAGAGATGTTGTAAGGTTATGGAACCTTAAGAAACCAATGTAAACCCTTGTAAAATGAGTGTGAGATAGAAATTGAACAATTACGCTAATGGCTTTAGAAAAAGCCTTAAGTGTCGTAACTTGCAAAAGACAATGTTGACATCAATGTAGTAGACTAGCACATATTCTAATTTTCCTTACAATTCTGAAATAGGTTGTGATATTTCTAGAGCTTGTGATTGTTATCTCTTAGATAGCAAGACTTGGTTGGAGAACTAATCAGCGACAAGTAAGCTTTCGGTTCTCAGGGTTAATCCCTCGTTTGTTCCACCAAACTCCATGGGAGGTTGGTTTACGCGCATGGTAGATTTTTGAAAAATGATTTATGCACTGATATATATATATATGTGTGTGTGTGTGTGTGTGTGTGTGTGTGTGTGTGTGTGTGTGTATGTATATATATATATGTGTGTATATATGATACATTTGGAAATGATTTGTGGCATAATGTGTTGATATATATGCAAATGTGATAGTGTATCCTACATGTGCAGGTGGTGTCCCAGGGTGTAGGGTATGGGGGAATCCTCGTATATTTTTAGTATGTTGCAGATATGCGTAATGCTTACTTATCTTTGGCCAGTAGATATTGATAATGCACATATTACATGTTATATATCCAGCATTATGTATTTTATTATTTTGTTGAACTTGTTATACCTGTAAGTGAATTTGGGGCAGAGTGATCCTTCGAGAACCCCAATTTATTAAGATTGCTATCTCTCCTTGTTTGAGAAACATTTCTCAAGTGCTGATATCCATGAGTTGGATGCTTCTTGAGGCAAGAGGCCGGAGTAAATATTTTATCATGACATGCAAGGATTTTATTTTATATGCCTGTATCTACTTGTACATGATTATTATATGCCAGACTATGTATGTTTTATTCGATGTGAGCATGTCTATGCCATTATTGAACAATCTATTTTATTGTTTACTTGAGTATATGTACAATTGCACCATGTGTATATGGATGCTACCAGGATTATCTGTTATGTGAACATGATTATTTATGTAGTTTAGCTATGTGAGACAGGACATGTATTTATTGATATGATTATCTATGGCATTTCCACACTGGAAATGATGAGACGTTATTTTTTGAATTGTAATACATACAGGATAAAAGAAAAAGGTTTATTCACTTTAAGAACTAAAAATAAATGAATAACATGTTAGATAGCTTCCTCGTTTAATTATGTAAACATCTTGCGCCTTTTACTATTCGTATGTTAATACACTGGCGGCCGACGGGGCGTTACAGTCACAACCAAAGTATCCCAGCTCTTAAGCGACAAGCTGAGTAGCAAAAGGGCTTGCAACTCGTCATCAATCTCTATGTCAATCTTTGTCAACTGATTGATGATCCCCTTGTATCTATTCAGGTCTCAATCATGCTTTGTTCGTCCTTGTAGTCTAGTTTCACAAGTCGGCGCACCAAGTATGCTTTGTTGCGTGGTGTCTTCTTCTAGATTAAGGACTCTAGCTTCGTCGTGAGCGTTTGTTTATGTCGACACATGATCGAACAAGCTCTTGTCGATGTATTTGCGGATCATAGCGACTACTTCCTATTGATGAGATCCCACTCTTTATCGCTCTTCCCTTCTGACTTGTCCGCGCTCAGAATGGGTTCATATAAATTCTTGCAATAAAGATGATCCTCCATCATGGGTTTCCAATATGAGTAGTTCTCCGCGGTGAGCTTGAACAAATCATTTTCATACGCTACGGCATCCTCCATCTCTGACCTCATAGAGCCCTTGATCTAAGAGCTTTGATACCACTATTATGTCACAAAGCCCAGCTATTCTGAGCCAAGCCTCGATATCAATTTGCTCGGCTTTCTTCAGATCGGTTTGCTAAAGCGTTGGTGAATAGTAATAACAAATCAAATTAAAATAGAGATAAAGAGGAAGAGAAAACACCAACAATTTTAACGCGAAAAACCTCTTTGATGTGAAGAGTAAAAATCACGAGACCAAATCCAGAAAAACTCCACTATGAATAATGGGATTTACAAAAGGATTCACTCTGACTCAATAACCAAAAGACTTTACCCTCTTAAGGATGGATCTACTCATAAGTGACTTACACAAGTATTTTTGTCTGTAAAGGGGATAATGAATCCTACTCTATAGGGTATTCTTCTTCTTCAGCTTTGGCGCTGGGTTTCTTTCTCATAGAATTTTCATCTCTAACTTGCGTTTTTCTCGTGCGCGTTTCTCTCTCTTTTTCTTATTCTCTATATGATGGCTCGACGTTTAAGCACTCTTATAAATAAGAGATTAGGGCACCTATTAACTTGGGTCGGGTCCATCATGGATCACAATCCCAACACTTGTGATTAAACCCCAACTAGTCAAGGAGGGCAATCCTTATATGTACCCTTACCTTTACATAATTATAAATAGATTATTTCTCAGATTCAAACTTATGACATTTCAGTAACAAAAACAACTTTATCATTGTTCAAAGCTCAACTAAGCTCTAAATGTCATATTAACAGAAAAAGATAAAACGAATGGAGCTCCCTCTCTTGTTCAGACACTATGCTGTGAATTTTATCAAGTAGAATGGTCTTGTCTTACAAGATTCAGAGTTATACAAAATAACATAAAATAATGACAAATAAAGATTAAGATACAGAACTAAAACAGTAAGATTAACAGAAATATCCCTATCTATCTAACCGTTACTTCAACCATGATCAATATAAAATAATGAATCTCTAAACGTGAAGGTTCAAATTGAGATTGTCATTTTCTTGCTAGTTCCGAGAAATGTCTCACCTAAGCAGACTGCCCATGTGGTGCTGCTGAAAGACTAGAACGTTTATCAAACAAGTACATATTCAAACTAGAAAAGAACCACCAACAAAAATCAATGGATTCTAAAATAAGAACCACTAGTACCTCTAACTTTATAGTAACAGTTCTATTAATCATGTTCCAAGGCCCTAAAAAGATACGTTTTGATACCACCAAGGCCAGCTTAGCTTATCTATGCTTCTTTCATTCCTTCTGCGTTTAATGTGCGCGGATCCGGGAGTAACCACTTTTTGCATGAAATTCAAGGGAAAATTGATAATTTAAACTAGGATTTTATTAATATTATGTTATAGAGATAAACTTGTGGGTTCCACCATTTGGAAAAAAAAAAGGTGGCACAATTATCGTGTAGGAAGAAAAACTTATCTCATGTAGTATAAAAATAATTTTTCTCTTTAAACTATCTCAACCATTCTCGCTTTCAACTTTTATTTTCTGTAGCATTGGCTGGACCATAGATATATGCAGCTAACCAAAAAAAATAAAAAAGGATATCTACAATAACCTACTACAGTCCATGCTTGGAATTGCATAGTCTCTTCAAATTGGATCAATTGAATTTTATAACCATGATAAAATTAAATGTTGCATTTTTTTTTGGGACAAAAACCAAAATATCGCGGTTTGGGTAAAATAATACCAAAGTTCCATTGACTCCACCAGCGGGATTGCTTTTTCGCCATGTGGCTCAGTCAGATAATCCTATTTGACCCAGTCAAGTAATCCTGTTGGCTCAGTTTGCATGCTGATATCGCTGATCCCACATGCATAACTGGTCCTGAGGTGTCGGTCCAGTGGCATTATGTCACGTGGACCAATGGTAGATCACCAGTTTTACAAACTGAGCCAGCAAGGCTGCCTGTCTAGGTCACGTCCCCCCCCCCCAAAAATATATCCACTAACAGGGTCAAGGGGACTTACAATGAAGGGGCGTTTGGTTCAGGAAATTTTTTTGGAATAGTAGGGAAATAAAATAGATAGAGAAATGATTAAAAAGATAGATAAAGTGAGATAGGTAGAAAAATATAAAAAAAAGTTGTTTGGTGGGGAAAAACTTTACTGTAAAAATTAGGTAACTTTATGAAATCAACAGTGCATTAAAAGCCAGATAACCGGTTTTCCGAAAAATCCCACTTTCAAATTGGGTTTCTAAACAGTACGGATATCTATGTTTCTCATAAATCCAGACAAATTGGATAGATGGGTTTTTGGTGAAAAACGTTGAAACAAACATGGTGTTTCTAAAAGCCTCACTTGAGAAAGATAGATATCCGCTGAAAAGCTCCCAACCAAACACCACATGATATTTTGATAAATTTTATTCGAGGTGGCATTTCAATAATTTTTCATCCAAAACGTGGCCTTTTTTTTTACCCCTTGTTCTTGTTCAAATTCATCACCAAAAACAACCTTTCAAGTCCGCATCAAGAGAGGGGAGCAGTCACTAACAAAAATTGGTATATACAATGATTGCTCGTCATTGTCAGAAACAGACAGAGAATAGGTAATAAACAGGTGGTGTTTGCGTCTACCAAAGAATAAACATGTGATGCCATGTTACTCGTTTTCACAAATCCTATATAAAAATAAAAACAAGCAGACACTAGGGTCACACATACATCTTTTCAATATGAGGAACACCCAGTTAGACCAATCAACACCTCTCAACTCTCTCATAACCAGCCAAGCAATTGTGTCAGCATCAGTCATGTCAAAATCCTTGACATACAAGCTTTTCTTTAGGCTATTTAAGCGTATGTCAGGTCAGGAGAGGAGCGAAATACAAGGTATTGTTTTCCATGCTGAAAGTACTTTTAAGTACAGAGCTCAACGATTAACCTCGTGGTGATATATCAATACAAAAAAAATGAGTTAATTCCCGCGTTGAAAGTATAAGGAGATAGAACATTGCCCTCAAGCTAGCAAGTGAAATTTTTGGTGCTCGTGGAACATAAAAAATTTCTTGTTATAGATCATGGAATGTCATACATAACATTAAAAATATAATTGAAGTAAAAAATATGACTCACATAACTAAGATGGTACACATTCAATAGAATGAGAAACTCTTTAAATAATACCCGAACAAGAGAAATCTGTTACTTTTTTTAATTAAATCTGTATGATCTCAATTTTGTTAGCCACCAATAACTATCACTGAAACTACATTTTAATGCTATAGCTGAAACGATACATGTTGAATTTTGCAGCGACAGCACCTAAGAATTTCCCAGTACAGAACAAGAGAAATCGTTTGCTGATCTCTCTAATGGGTATATATTATGTGAGGTTGATGATTCGGTCTCCACCATATACAGTGTAGAGACACCTCAAATCTTGTTTTTCTCATGAAAGAGCACGCCAAGTTTACATTCTAAGGAAAATTGTTTTCTGCGTTCAATTTTGAAAAAGGCATAATGAAATCAGAAAATAAAAGGAAGTCATAAATGATGTTTATGGAGCCCTTTTTTCTGGATTAGATGATCTCAATCAAGTTCTTTATCTAGAAGCCTCCAGTGGTCAGCAAGCAATGAGTAGAGTGCAATGGTATTTACATGTTTGAAGCGCTCAAGGCCATCATCTTACATTGTTCATTCAAAGCCAGAAGTTGAGCCTCTTTCTTGTCAAGTAGAGCATTCAACCTTACATTCTCTTCCATAAGTTTCTGAACTTCAGCCTCTTTCTGCATTTTCTCACCCTCCAATTGGGTAGTCTTTCCAACTAGCCTGCTCCAGGGAAAAAGCAGTAAGACAAATTCAACATAGATTTTAACACCGACATGTTACACAAGCATGTATGAACAGGTTCACACAACGCAATACCATCCCACCCCACCCAAGTTATATTGATATATTAACAGGCTTTTGAACCTAAAACTTGGGCTTCAATTGGCTTAATAATAACAGTTAAACCACTCCATAGTAATTTCAAAACAAATCATTTCTGTCTCTGGCTAGAACTTGCCTTCATTTGTATACTCCCCAAGAAAAACCAACAAATACAATAACTTTCGAAGAATATAATTATCTAAATGCAAAAGAAAGGGAAACGGTAGCCTGAATTTGCCACTGTGCAGAGAATGGCAGGAAAAATGCATACCAAAACTATGTCCAAAACGGCAAACAAATGAGAGTAGGCACATCAGCACAAATGATAAACAAACATGCCAATAAGGTGATACTTTTATTTTTATATATAAAACAAGTAACTCTTTAGGATGATCTGGGGCAAAAAACAGCAAGGTTATATAACTCATCAAAGGATGAGATTTTGTTCAAATAGAAGCATTATGGTTAACCAAATCATATTAAAGAAAACTATTAAGTGAGAAAGAAGTTAGCTCTTAAAATACCTTTAAAAGAATATAATTATAGGTGTTGATGGAACCTCAACTTCTTATTGGTAAAGGAAACGGAGACAAGCTTCTCCCAGAACAGTCAACTCAACAAAACAGAGAACGACTGAAAATAGATACTTAAACAAGAAGAAAGGATCAGCAACAGTGCTGTGATCACACAAAGGAAAAGGAAAAAAAAGACCTTCCTAAAGGTCTAATACCGAGAACCTTCAGGATTCCCCAGAATTCCCTCACTCGTGTCCCCCATCATTCTTTCCCCGGCCCATATAATTAAATGAATCTCCAATTCCATTACCTCCTCAACCCCTGAGGGAATTGTTAAACCTTTAAGTAATGGCATGGAGTCCTGACCATTTAAGGCTTTGAAAGGAGTGGTGAGTTGTGTGGAGCTACTATAATTCGTATTAAACCAAAACTAAGCCCAGCATAACCACTTCGGCTGCTGTTTGGGTTTGCTTCCATCACACACCACAAACAAGTCTCCAAACAGCTATTCTACACCTTAGTTTGCCCATCTGATTGCAAATGGAATGGCGAGGCTAAATTTGAACCTAGTTCCAGCCACCTGGAATATCTCAGTCTAGAAATGATTGACAAATCTCGTCTCTGTCTCATACACTTGTGGCTGAAACCCATGTAACCGGACCCGCTACACCAAGTGCAATAAAAGGATTGCCAAGTGGTATAAAATGAACAACTTGGTAAGTCTATCCATCACTACTAGAATAGTTTTTCTGTGCCTTAAGCCCTACGGAATCCCTCTCTAAGTCCATAGAAATATTGGACCAAATATGAGTGGGAATGGGCAAGGGTTGCAGGAGACCTGCAGGGGATAAAATCTTGTTTATTCCTTTGGCACACAACACAAGCTGAGACATGTGGCTGCCTTGCATGGAGTATCCAGGATGAGTTTGGAACAGTCAAAAGATCATGCAATCTTCAATTTTTCATCTGACTGAACTGCCACCAAATTTTCTAGATCATCAAGCTGAACCACAGAAAGGGTAGCATATATCATGCAACTCTTACTCGATAGTGCATCAGCCACTCCATTGTCACAGGCCGACTTATACTTGATTTCAAAATCCAACCCTGTCAACTTAAAGGCCCATTTAAGTTTCCCTTCACTCATAAGGCATTCATCATTCAGAAATTTCAAACTGTATTGATCTGTATGAATAATGAAATGTCTGCCCATGACATAGTGACACCACTTCAGCTCTGCCATGAAAATAGCCATAATCTCCCTTTTCATAAACTGATTTCTGATCAGCTCAACTGGATAATTCCTGACCGACAAAGGCTACAGGTCTGCCCTCTTGAAGTACAACAGCTCCTAAACCTTTTACTTGAAGCATCTGACGCAATGATAAAAGGTTTTTGAGAAATCTGAGCTTGTCAGAGTGGGAAAAGTAGACACAGCTCTCTTTAATGCCTCAAAAGTGTCTTAGGCCTCCTTTCCCCAATTGAAATTGTCCCCTCAACAAATGGGGTCAATGGCTTGGCCACTTTACTATTATCGGTAACAAACCTTCCGCAATACCCAGTTAGGCCAAGGAATCCCCTCAATTCCTTCACGTCTATGGGTGGTTGCCTGGCTGCCATAACTTCCAGCTTGGGTTTGCAGCTACCCCTTAAGTAAAGATAACCTAACCAAGATACTCCAACGGCCTTTGGCCAAAGCTGCATTTCTTTCTATTAACAAGTAAGTTGGGCTCTCTTAAATGCTGCAATACCTATCTCAAATGGCCTAGAATCCTAGATGATCCTCTACATTCCTACTATACTCGAAAATGCCATCAAAAAATACCAAAACAAACTTCCTTAAGAAGGGCTGCAGCATCTCATTCATGAGGGATTGGAAAGTGGAGGGGGCATTGATTAATCCAAAAGGCATCACGAAAAACTCAGCCCTTAATAAGCACGAAAGGAGGTTTTAAGAATCTTCCTTCATTCTTATTTGGCGGTAGCCAGATTTAAGGTCTAATTTAGAAAAAACAATAGCTCCCTCTAGTTCATACTGTAGCTCATTGATGATAGGAATTCAGAATTTATCCGGACTATGATCTTGTTCAAAGTCTGATAGTCCACACAAAACCTCCATTATGGGCTTGGATAGGAACTACACCAAGTCTCATAATCCCTGCTACCAGCATGTCATGTACCTATTTTCTATCTCAGCCTTACAGTAATGAGGATATCTGTAAGGCCTTAAATTGGGTTTCTTCCGCACAATGGCATGACTATGCCTTCTTGGGGGTGGTAAGCCTTGTGGCACACCGAAGATAAGAAAAATTTCCTAAAACTTCATGCACAGCGACTGGTATTCCCTGTGTTTTGGAAACACTCCACACATCCCAATGTATTCCAAATAAAATTTTCCCTTTAATCTTGAATGCTTTCATTAGGGACTAAAGGAAGGCAACTAACCTAGATAAAGTTGGATCTCCTTTTAAGATTAGTGTCTTTTTTCCCACTGGTATCTTCATGGTTAGTTCCTTGAAATTATCATCTCGACTAAATTAGCCAACAAGTCTAATTGTAGTACCACTTCTGCTTCCCCTAAGTAAATATAAAAAAAATTCTACCATACCTTCCAGCCTTGCAGCATCAATATCATTCGAAAGCAAACCCCTCAACTCTGTATTTTACACCCATCTCCTACCTCCATGTGATATGTGGTTGTAGGCTTGTAGCTGTGATTAGCAGCTTCAACTCTTCTATTAAAGCACAGGAAATGAAGTTATAGGTCCCCAAAAACAATCAAAACTATAACTCTTCTTCCTGCAACCTCTCCACGTATTTTATTGGGTTTCTTAGAAGTCAATCCGTAAATGCTACACTAGGATAACAGTAGAGCCTTATAGGCTAGTTCCCCTCAATCTAGCGATGCTCCTTCTTTATCTTCTTTCTCCAGATCCTCATCTAACAACATAACCCCATACTGGTTGTTCTTACAAACATAACTCGGCCCAAACTTCTCATCACATGTAAAAGACAACCGCTTCTTGATTTTGTCCTGCCATTTTGTCTCTGAGAGCCTCTTGAATCCCCCGTTGCTTCTAACATTTCGATTGGATTTGTTATACGTTGAGTCTCCTACTAGTTTCCCGCCATGTGGATTAGCAGGTATATATGTGTCACTATGTGGTTTACTACAGGGGATTGTTACCCCTTTTAAGTTACTATTTGGTTACGGTTAAGTTGGTTGTAACTGACTTAGTAGCTGAGTCATCTTCTCTTTTAAGTGTATATTAACAATTGTACCACATTTTTTGTCTCATTCAATGAAATCAATTGTTTCATACTTTCTTCTCTCTTTCATTTTCTCTTTAACTTTCTCTTCGTCTTTCTTCTCAAACTATTTGATGGTATCAGAAATCTCTCTGAGGGCCTAACATGTATCTGATCTTCCATGTCTTCTGCTTCGACTCAACAAACCAATAATGCAACGATGGAGAACAGAGCCACAACAGAGAGTAGATTTGCAACAGAGAATAGATCTACGACAAAGAGCAAAGCTCCGTTACTTTTCAATCATCAAATTTGCATGAAGCTCATTGCCAGTAACTATCTACTATGGAACCAGATCGTGGATCCTATCATCACATCGCATCAGCTCCATCATTTCCTCATTAAACCTAAGATACCACTACAATATTCTTCAGAGCAAGATCGATTGGACGGAATCGTCAATCCAGCCTACACGTAGTGGCTTCGCCAAGATCAAATGCTGCTATCCAAGTTGCTTTCAACTATTTCAAAAGGAATAGTAAATGAAATACTAGGAGTTCAACATGCATGCAAAGCTTGGGAACAGGTACTCAAATTTTTCAATTGAAAGATAAAATCTAAGGCACGTCAGCTTTGTTTTGAACTTCGTACCATCAAAAAGGGTGGAAGCTCCATTGCTGAATATCTAAGATAAATCAAGAGTTTGTGATGAGCTGAAAGCTATTACAAGTCTTATTCTAGTGCATGAGTAAAAAGAACTGATTCTTAATGACCTGTCGATAGAGTTCAACGCCTTTGTCACGTCTGGGAGAGCACAAGAAAATCTGCATGCAATTGATGACTTAAGGGTTGAGCTAATGGCTCATAAGATGATGCTGACGAAGCAGAATGAGAATATTTTATCTAAATCTATGTCTGTCAATGTAGCCAGAAGCCATTAGTGCCTGATAATCAAAAGAATGAACTAAACTCTACAATCCTAACATAGCTAAAAACACCTCTGGCAGAGGCAAAGGGAGGTCTTTTAGTCGCAACAGTCGTGGAAAAAGTGGTAGAGGTGGTCGCAACGACTAGCAATGTCATCTTTGCTATAAACTTGGACATGAAGTCCACAATTACTAGCATCGCTTTGATAAGAACTTTGTTCTTACTCTTCCTCCACCTAACTCCCCTCAATACTTCACTCCAGCAGCTCAAAGATCCTTTCAGTATATCAGACCTCCATCTAATGGTGCTTCCCAACCACAAGCCATGCTTACTGCTATTGCACTTGTCGCATTCTAACATAATCTAATTCCTCGGTGCAAATTGGTCAAGGTCTCCTACCAACTCCTCAGAATGTTCAAGCTCTGGAGTGGTTTCCAGACTCAGGAGCGTCTCACCATGTAACTCCAACAACGCCCTAACCAACTCTAACCCCAATTCTGTTCTGATCTCATCCTCCAATCTATTCAAGAATATGCCTGAGGTATTGCAGATCTATACCCCGCAAGGGGCTCCTGCACAACTCAATGTGCTCCCTGTATCCCTCTACTGTAGTTGTCCATTTCAACGCCAATAATAGCTCATAAGGGTTCTGCATCATCATGGCCTGAAACCTCCTAATCACTGCTCTTTGAACCCATGACAGGTTTTAGGCACAAAATTCCCACCACTGAAACCATGATAGGACTTGTCCTCCATGGCTATCATGGGAACTTGTAATTTGTCATCCTCTAAAACCCCTTTCAACTTGTTTGAGAAATATAATATAAAACTATTAACCCCTTAATATGGTAATATAAATCCTTCTTCATGTCCAGTTCCAATGGCATTGCTTCCTCTGGATAAACTCATTGGGTTCTTCTGTCTTGGGTCAGTTCAAATTAGTCCTTTGCGTAAGTCTTAAGATTTCTTCAGCTGAGCTTCTTGGAGCTCCCAATCTCTCCTTGCTTATTGTTGGCCCTCATCCATCTGTTTCATGCCTCTCTCCAAGAAGCAAGGAGAAAGGAGGGAACAAAATAGATTTTTTATTAGGAGTATCTTCACTACCCTGGATCAATGGAGAATCCAGATTCAAGAAAAGAAAGAATGGTGTACAAAATGTTATTCTATCAAGAGTTCGAGGGCCAACTCTTTCCCACCAAAACTAACTGTCTCGCAAAAATAAACTCCATGCTAACCTCTCCCTCTCCTTATAAACTACCTCTAACTATTCAATTAGAAGTTTAACAACCAGCATTAACTAATTCTAACTACTTTAACTGATTGTGGAGGCCCATTTGGTTCATTGGGCCTGACTTTATCTCTTCTAACATAGACTTTCCTAATTGGGACTTGTTGTGCTAAGAGAAGTGTACCATCGCATATAAGTCAAACAATTTGATGCATATCAAATACCAAATAATTTTTAAGACATTTATCAGAAGCATATTGCATATAGCGTGTATAATGAATATATTTTACCGTTCAAACAGCCTCTCAAGTGTTTGGAATTGCTTCTCTGAAGAAATTAGGGTTTCTCTTACTGTGATTAGACTACTAACATATGACTTTAGAGACTCAAATTCCTGTTTCACTCTACAAAGCTCTTCTTCATTTTCAGCAGCTCGTTGTCTTTGTCTACTTGTTTCCTCTACCAAATCTGCAACTTTTTGCCGCATTTCATTCAAAATACTATTTGTACCCAATGCAAAACGCTCCATCTCCTCTAATTTCAAAGACATGTTTTCTAACTGAGCAGACTTTCGCATAATTTCTTCCCGACCTAAACTTACTTTTTCCTTCTCAATTGTAGTTTCTGATTCTGCCAATAACACCCTTTTGACTAGGGCTTCCATCACATCTGTCACCATCTGGACAGACTTGAGTATCTCACCAATATAAACTGCATCACCATGCTGATGGCTAATTCCTATCCAAGATTCTTCATCTGGGCCATCAAATGAAGAAAGGTCAACATTCCTAGACCAACCCGATAATGGAATCCCATCTTTGTCAACAAGCCCTACCCCGTCTAATTTTTTGATGCCACAAGATGTTTGGGCTAGATGAGGAACAGCCATGATTCTTGCTCTTGATTTTAAGTAGGTCAACAAGGTAGCAGTAGTCTTCACTCTTCGCCAAAGAACCTCCAACTCCTTTTTTGCATCTTCCTCTGAACCCTGTACGCAAGCCTTTATGTCCATAAGCTTTGCTTGCAATACATCCACTTGAGATTGGTTTCTTTCCATGTCCTGCTTCCATGTTTCGGGTGATTGACTCAACTGAGACTCCAAAGCTGACATGCCAATATCTTCATCTGCCGCCATGTCCTGTCCAATGTTAAATAGAAATATGAGAAAACAATACCAAAGTCAAAGTGTAATTATAAAACATATGCATCAAGATACAGATAAGCACATAAGCAAAAAGTTCCAAATACGAAAATCCTTAACAAGCCCATTGCAATTAGAAACGCACAGTAAAGCTCCAACAAAGAGTAAGCAAGTAGATATAAGGTATCTGAAACTGGGCTTCATTTGTAACAATCAATTCCAAAAATAAAACTCTAAAAGGACGAAGCTTAGTAAGCTGGATGCCACATACTGCAATAAAACTAATATGAAATCACACTTTACAAGAAAGAAAATTCAACTACACTTTAATCTGACATACTGATAGTATTTGAACCAGATTTGAGGAAGAAAATAAGAAGCAACTGAGATTTAATATTGATATAACAGATCTCAACAAGATATATGCATAATAGCTTGATAGCAGCATAGAAAAACAGCAAGAAAATATATCCCTGATCTTTCGAGAGGCTCAGGACTCTCCCAATTCTACTCTCGACCAATCTGATGATCTGAACCTTCCTCTCTCTCCCTTCTTATCCCCACACCCCACTCACCATGCTGTTAGTAACGGCTTAACAGCTATTTCCCCACCTAAGGGGTGTCACACATTTCTAACAAGTGGGAGAGCCCAATCCACTGTGGCCCTTCCTACTATACACCCTTATGATGGGTAGAGTCCTATGATATAATTTACAAAATTTGCATATTTTAAATTCATACATCAGAAATAGACCGGAGAAATAATCAGATTCCAACATTTTTATTTTTATAAACAACAATAAGTACATCACATATTTTCTGGCCCGGCTTCCTTTTGAAGCCAGAAAATATGAAGTTTATAACATCCACTTGTACTAACACTGGAGAAGTACATGCTGACATTAGACAAATGGTAAGGCAAATTTCATGTCCTCTAGATTTCAAATTTCATGCAAGTGTGCAACTGAACTTCTACATCAAACCTTGTCTGGTTAGCACTTGAACCCTTCACAGCACATATATGAATTAATCCATACTCAGCTAGAATTAACACTAATTCATCTAGATGCTAATTCTTGTAAGCTATACCCATCATGAACAACCTCTACAATAGTTATTCTTTTATTTTATTTTATTTTTATTCAAAAAAAAAAACTCATGCTTTAATTATTCCATTTACTAGTTCAAGGTTGTTTAGATTTGGAAGCAACCCAACCAGAACCGACAATAAAAAAATATGCACAAAATGGTTATCTCGAGAATATGAGCTAAAACAACTCTAAATAATATCACGGGTAGGAAGAGTATCAACTGAGATTTCCCCCCAAAAAAAAAGGAAAAGAAAAAAGAAAATTATACTGATCTGGAAGAAGAAGGAGGAGGAGAGGAAACGAAATTGAACCCAGACCCAGAATCAAATGGACAAAGCTGAAACTGTAATATCCACCAAAACCATGGAAAAGATAAAAAAAAATTGCAATTTTAAAGGTAACAAAAGCCAGAAATATACAAAGAAAATTGTAAAAGCAATCAACTAAAAGAGAATATAACAAAGAAGAAGGAAAGGAGAGAGAACCTGGTTGAATGAAAAGCGATGATAGGGTAAAGAAGAAGAACAAGATGAAGAAGGCTCTGAATTGGATCTTGGTCTTACAGCAAAACTGTGCCTATCTTTCCCTTTCTTGACAAAGAAAAAGAAACGAAAGGCAACAACAACGAATATCTGAGACGAACACAAAGTGCTTTATCGTTTGTCTCCCAGTTTGTTCCTTTGCCTTTCTTTTTCTTTTTCTCCAATTTAAAAATTGATGCACAAGTTTGTCATACATTAATTAATTAATTGAGTGCGTTCACGAGAGAAGAAAAAATATTAATATCAGCAGCTTATATTTTCACGTATATATAAAAAATAAAAATATTTCTTATATTGATATAAAACTTTAATTATATATATATATATATATATATATATATATATATATATATTTAGGAATAATAGGATATTCATATTATCATTTTATCTATTACCAATCTAATTATTATTGAATTTAAAAGTTATTTTTTCTCTCTTTATTCAATTTTTCCTTTAAACCAATAATAATTAGAGTGGTAATAAAAAATAACTTTTTTCCTTTATTCAATTAACTAGTATGAATATTCTACATTCTTATTATTTCTTACAATATAAGGGATAAGGGTGAAATTACGTCGGGCCGACCTACGGGGGCCCACGGCTCGGCCTACGTCAGGCCAGACCTGACCTAGTATATTTTGTAAAATAGGTCAAGCTTGGACCTTAAAAAAGCTTGTTTAATAAAAAGGCTGTAAGCTCACTTTCAGAAGACCTGGCCAATAAGCCTATAGGCCGGCCTATATTGTACTATTTATTTTAAATAAAAAAATAAAGTATGCCTTGAAGAAAAACAAAAGATATAAATTTAATCAATTGCAATTATTTATAACTTAATTATATTCGATTATATTTTAATAGAAATATGACTTTATTTCTTATATAGAGGAACCAATATCTCAGTATGTTAGATGGTGTATATGAATATATTAAAAGATTTTTGGGTGAGGTTATACTTACTACAAGCATTATGATGTGTTTGTTGGATTCATGTAGTTATTTTAATTCACACAGTATGGATTTGTTTGTTGGATATGATGAAATATATGTTATTTAGTTTGAGCATTTTACTTTTGAAAGTGACTTAATTGTAGATTGTATGAGTTTTGTTGTGATTCATGATTCTGTTTGAATGTTAAAATTATGATTTTTGGTTTAGCAATAGAATTTTAGTATTTTGTAAAGTTGTTTCGTGGATCTGCTTGGAAGTTAAAAATTAACAGGCTTGGTCGGGCCATTTATTTTTTTATAAACGAGCCAAGTCAGGCTAACAATTAGACTCGTACTAGGCTTGGGTCAGGGCAAATTAAAAATTTTTTGATGTAGGCTTGGACTTTTCGGAGTAAAGCTTGGCCCAGTCCAACCTAACCCAACCCACTTTCACCCCTAATAAGAGATATAAAACCTTAATTTTATATATATTTAGGGATAGTAGGATATTCATATTATCATTTTTATCTATTACCAATCTAATTATCATTGGATTTAAAAGTTAGAGTAAAAATCCTTTTTGGTCCCTGGCAATATCTACGAAAATCTTTTTTAGTCCCTGGCAATAAAAAAGGACCAAATTAGTCCCTAACAGTATGTAAAAAGGGCCACGTTAGTGACGGAGGAGTTGACATAAGGACTAACGTGGCCCTTTTTTCATAATTTTAGGGACCAATTTGGTCCTTTTTTATTGCCAGGGACTAAAAACGATTTCGTAGATATTGCCAGGGACCAAAAAGGGTGTTTACTCTAAAAGTTATTTTTTCTCTCTTTATTCAATTTTTCCTTTAAACCAATAATAATTAGAGTGGTAATAAAAAAATAACTTATTTCCTTTATTCAATTAACTAGTATGAATATTCTACATTCCTATATATATATATATATATATATATATATATATATATATATATATATATATATATATAATGGAAAAATATTTGTCATTTTTTTAATACAAATATTTGTCACCTTAAATTACACAACTTTATCATTTTAAGTGAAATTACAGTATTTTGATAGATTTTTACCTTCTTTCTCCTCCACAAAATCAGGAGAAAAGAAAAGGAAAAAGATAAAAATCCATCAAAATATTATAATTTTATTTGAAATAATGCAAAGTTATGTAATTTAATATGATAAATATTTCTATATATATATATATATATTATAAATAATACAAAGTTGTATATTTTAAGATGACACACACACACATATATATAGGGGAAGGTTATATTTACAACCTATTTTTGTTTACAACTTCTTACAACCATATTTTAACCGTTGATTTCTGTCAATCAACGGTTAAGATTTTCGCAAATCAAATTTAGTAATTAATTATTAATTCACAATAAAAGACAACTGTTGATTGACAGAAATCAACGGTTAAGATATGATTGTAAAAGTTTGTAAACTATATTTGGGTTGTAAATATAACCCTCCCATATATATATATATATATATATATATATATATATCTATGTATATATATGGGGCAGGATATTCTTACATCGGTGTAAGAGTTAGAAGTCTTACACTCAATCTTGACCATTGATCCACTTGTATCCTATGCCTCACATTACTAAAAAATTTGAGCCGTTAGATATAAATGAAATTAACGGATAAGAATGAGAGTGTAACTTACACTGGTGTAAAATGATCTTGACTATATATATATATATATATATATATATATATATATATATATATATATATATATATATATATAGGGAAAAGTATTTCTACAGCCACTTTAGATAAGGTTATCTACAGCTATCCCTTTTTAACTAAGTATGACTGGTCATACATTAAAATTGTATTTTCTCTCTCCGCTACGTCAGCCGACAGTGTCTGAGGAAAGAAAAAAAAAAGAACAATAAAACTGACAGTGTCTAAGGAAAGAAAAAAAAACAACTTTATTGTTATAACTAAGTATGACCGGTCATACTTAGTTAAAATGGAATAGCTGTAGACAATCTTATCTAAAGTGGATGCAGAAATATTTTTTCCATATATATATATATATGGGTTCGTTTTTTCTGCAGTTACTACAGATAAGTTATCTGCAGTAAGCCCAATACGACGTCGTTTTGGGACGAAAATCATGGTTTTTTTGTAATTTTAATTTATTTTAGGGTTATAATAGTCTTTATATTTATAATTTTTTAAGATTTCAATATCAAAACGACGTCGTTTTGGAAATAAATGCAGATAATTTATCTGCATTAACTGCAGAAACATTTTTCCCTATATATATATATATATATATATATATATATATATATATATATATATATATTCCATTGATTACATTAATTACTCGACTAATTTGATTCAAATAGAGTATTATTAAACAATAAAAATCTCCCTATCAAATTTTAACACAATTATATTTTCATAAACTCAATTTCGAGAATACTAGTATTAATGGTAGAGGTAGGTTATATTTACAAACTTTTTTGTTTACAAATTAACTATCTTCTCTCGAGGGAACACTAGGTTTCACTATGTTCTCCCGAGAGAAGATAGTGTAATTTGTAAAAATTTATAGATGGATCCTTCCCCTTAATGGAATATCAATCTTTCTACTCTCTTTTTTCTAATATATTAAATTTGACGTAAGTTTTGTATTTCTGCCGTTAAATCTGATATAAATGACCACCCACTCAAAATAAACTAACTTTATTAAGAATTATGATTTTGGATTTCATTCACCGGCAATCGCCCGATTGTAATTTTGTTGTTTTTACATAGTTTAATCCTTATGGGGGTTAATAATTAAACACATGTCTCCCTTATTAAACATGACACAAAAAGGATTAAACCCAATAAACCAACCTTCTTAATTCACTAAAAATTATGGATTTGGATCCTCTAATGCGAAAATTCACACGACCATGTAATGTGGGGAATCATAACCATACAAAGGTGGATCAATGGTAAAAAAGGAGGAGAGAGAAAAAATGATAAAATAGGTAGTTACGAAATCATAACCGTTGATTTACCTTTGTATGGTTGTGATCTTCCCACATGACCATATCATGTTTTTTTGCCACATTAGAGAATCCATTTCCAAAAATTATATGTTAAGTTGCATTTTATGGGAAAAACAAGTATAATGTTGTAGGACAATTTTCTTGTCATGCTATAGAGACAATAAGTGTGGGGTCCACCATGTTTAAAATATAAAAAAAAAATGTAGCACAAATATCGATGTATATGTAGGAAACTTTGCATTTGTCATGCAACATGACAAATACAAAATCCTTTTATAATTAGTATTTTAAGAAGTGTTGTTTCAATCTGAGCATATATTTGCTAAATTGACCTGCTAAATTAAAGTAGATTAAGTCATCTAGCTCACCAACTCATCATTTTAAAAAATAAATAGCAAGTTGACAAACTGATAAAGAAAAATCCTTATTCTCAAATCAAGCATCAAAATATCAAAAAAAATTAATAACCATAATTGGAGTCTTAAATAATCTTTTATATGATGATAAATAATCCTAAATTATTATTAAAATATAAATACTAAACTACGATATTATTATTAAAAAAACTAAAAATAAAAAATAATGCACAACAAAACACATTCCAAATCAATTCTAATTTCATTATCTTCTCAGCCCATATTCCAAAAATAAGTTTTATTGTCCCTTTTTTAGATGAGATGCTATCACTTACTAAAAATATAAATTAAATTAAAAATATGACTAGCCACCAATAACCAAGGGTGCCGCTATATATCCTAATAAAAATAAAACATACAAAGGGAATCTTCCTTAACATTATCTCAAAGTCATACTTAGGGTGTATTTGATTAGGATTTTAAAAGATTTTTTTGAGATAAAAAATCTTATATATTTTAAAAGATTATTTAGAATTAGAGAGAATTTAAAGATTTTTTAAAAGACTTTTTTTACAATCAAGATTTCATAAGATTGGATTTTAAAGGATTTTAAATAATTTTAATAGAATTTATAAGATTTGAAAGGATAATATGGATTTATAAGATTTTAAAAAATCATATGAATTTTTAAAAAATATTCAAAATTACAAGAGTCAATAAAAAAGGGAAAATTTATACTTACAACTTATTTTTGTTTACAACATTTAATCATATCTTAACCGTTGATTTCCATCAATCAACGGTTATCATTCATTGCAAATTAAATATTAATTAATGAGTTTGATTTGTGAAAATAATAACCATTGATTGACGGAAATCAACGGTTAAGATATGGTTGTAAAAAGTTGTAAACAAAAATATGTTTTAAGTATAATCTTCCTCATAAAAAAATAACAAAGAAATGTAATGAAATTAGTAAAAAAAAGTAAAACCTAATATAATTTTCTCAATCAGTAAAACATAATATAATTTTTAACAAAAATTCAAAATTACTAAACAACAACTTTTCACATATCTAATGGGTTAAAAATTATCTTCTTCATTTGGTATCAAAGCTATGGTTATATGATTATAAGACCCAATTTTTTTAATTATAAAAATAATTCTAAACTTGCATATAGAACCTAAAGTTTATGATAAAATTTCGTTTGGAATTTTTTGCAATTGATCTTGAAAATCTTGGAGTTTTTGTTTTACATTATGAGAGTTTTCTAACCATATATCATATGCATATTTTCATTGAATATTCTATGAAAATTTTGAATCTGAAATTTTGGGTTTAATTACATGAAAGTTTAACGCAAACTTTTTTTCAATCGATAGATTGAAACCTTAAATTGCTTTGGGGCTTTTGAGAAACAAGCTTTTAGTTATCTATTTACATAAAAAATTGTTTGAAATCATTTTCTATAGTGAAGGAATTTCGTTCATAAATGTATTGTTACGAAATATAGGGTTCGTATTATGAAAGTTTCAATCTTTCTTTAAATTGATATTATTTCATTGATGTAAAACGAAAATTGGTTTGAGGGTTTTAGTTTCCCTGTTATTTTTTCACTGTTTTATGCTGTTTTTAATACAAAAATCACATGTTTTCGTGTCAAGAAAAACCGCGACCCATAGCTTGAAAAATTACTTTTTAAACTTCTAAAATTTCTTAAAAAATGGCTCAAACATATGTTATTTTTTAGATAAATTATATTAAAATCTTGTTGGTTTGTTGTTCTTGGGTTGTTTTGTGATAAAAATCGCTTAAAAATATGTCTTTTTTTAGTTTCTACGAAGCTCCCATGGCAGAACCCAATTTCGAGCAGTCAACCTGCCAAAGGAAGAAGAAAATACTGCAATAGAAGAATCTCAAGAAATCCTAGGAGTTAGGGTAAGATTGTGAGAGAGGCATCCTATTTATATTTTTCACTAAAAAGTCTCACGAAATCCACACCAATAGAAAATCCATTAAAATTGTCAGATTTTTGAATACCATGAGATTGTGATTCCATTATTTAAAATCCTGATTGAAAATCAACGGATTTGGACGGATTCTAAAATAATCTTTTAAAATCCTAATCGAATACCACGGTCCACGAGACTTTTTTTCATTCCATTAAAATTCTAATTGAATACCAACGGATTTTTTTGTCCAAAAATAATCCATTAAAATCCTTTGAAATTTCAATCCAATACACCCCTTAATTTGAATAGTTTTTGTTCAACATGTCTTCAAATCGTACTATAATTAATTTTCACTGTAACAGTTTTTAACAATTCAAATTCATTTTTTATTGTCTTTTTGCTAGCTTGTCAAATATCTACTTTTTAATAAAATATAGAAAAATAAATATGATTTGTGTACACATCTTGAAAAAAGTAACAGTAAACGTGAGTTATTAATTATTTATTATTTATTAATTGGATTTTCATAAAATTATTTAGCAATGAATAATGATCATATCAAGTTGACAAGTTCTGTAACAACTCCAAAATAATAATAATAGTAATAATAATTTTTTATCGGTTCGAAAGCTAAAATAAAAATGAAGCTTAAAGATATAAAAAGGTACCCGTATCTACCGTGTATTCACAACTAAAACTTATCATTTGTATGTTTCATTATAAAAATAAAATAAAGAAAAGTTAAAAATAAAAAGTTATTTTACAAGCTTTTGTTGGATTTCTTGCTTTTCTTAAGACACAATCTCTTGCTTTTTTTGATATACTAAGCGCATCTCATTAAGTCTATTTGGATATTTTCTTTTTTAAGCTAAAAATTAATTTTAAGCTAAAACTAAAAAAAAGAGTTTAAAAAAAATTAAAAGTTATTTGGTGATTACATAAAAATTTTAAATTAAAAGTTACCTAAAAGTTCAAACTTCATTTCAAAAAAAATTGATAAGAGCTTATAAAAAAATTCCTCCTAGAAGCTTTTGACTTTTGACTTTTTTTTTTTATTATAAAAAAGGTTCTTTTTATCATAATAGCTTTTGTAAAAATCTAATTAGTTTAACTTCTGCTTATAAAAGAGAAGAGAAGTTAAAAAAAAAAAAAAAAAATCGAAACAGACACTGATAAAAGAGTTGTTGATGCCAAATATAGAAAAGCTTTTTGAAAGGGCTATAGCAAAATTATTGGTACATGGGAAGGGAAAATGAGGTAGTATTTACAAAATTGGATCATATATGTATATATGATCGTATATATATATATATATGGATTCTAGAAAGACCATTCTAGGGAGGAACTTGCAAGCAAGCCAGAGAGGAGAGCAACCAGAAGGGCACTACTATAAGTAGTTGGTTCAGCCTGCATTGAGTTGTTCCGAAAATCATTATATGTCTCATTAAAGAAGGGGCCACCAACTAGAGCTCCAAATGCTATGTTAGGATTTGGTTGAGGTGAGTCAAACCACTTGATGAATCCATTCCTGCATCCTGTTTTAGCATCAACTGGAATGGAAGATCCTCTATGATGTACATATTTTGGGTAATTACTTCCATATCCAACAACATAGCTCATCATCATAGGATTTTCTCCCAACACATACTCTGCCTAAAATTGTTTGTATTAGCCGTTGTCAGGAGGAAAGAAAACACAATAATATTAGAAGCAATTCAAGCATAAATGCAAAGCCAAACTGCTATTTATATAATCACATTAGTGCAAAGAACGAAATAGCATTTTTTTGAAATAGTTTTGAGAATCAAACCGGTTTTATAAACAATTAAAAATTGAACTGAACCAAAAGAATAGATTTGGAAAACCAGTTCACAATTGATTTGCATACCCGAACTGATTCAAAACCTGGTATAAATCATAAACTGGTTTTGAACAATGAACCGGATCGAGAAAAATAAAACCATGCCCACCCCAATACATGAGTGGATCAAAAATTGTCCTAAAAAATGTATGGTAGCTGATTTGACAAAGAAATTTTGAAGTTGAAATAACTCCAACTAGTAAGGATGGAAAGTTATTGATCTCATTTTCTAAGACATGCATACCTGGATTAGTCCCATAGCCGGCTCAAAGAGTCAAAGCTTGTGGGGATACCGGAGGGAGTCAACTCGCCTCAAAGAGGTAATTAAGGTTGAGTAACTCCAAGAAAAAAAGACATGCATACCTGAGAAATGGAAAATTTGCGAAGATCTACTGGCTTATACAATTTCCCACTACAATATAGAGTTTCAGTTTGAGATGTAAGCATGTAATCACTATAAAGAACAGCTAAGAATGCAGAAGCCACTGAATGTTGCAAAGAGTTCCATGGCACCACCCATATCAGCCCACCTGTTTTGTAATGATAGTCATGTATATAAGTAACAGCTAATATGCAACCAAAGGGAATATTTCAATTTAATATATATCTTTCTTTTTTAAATCATATTTTTTAGCATAATAAACATAAAATGCAGGCCTTTTTGCCTGAAATAACAAAAAGAACACACACAGAGAGACTATAGAAATGCTGCAGGGAAAAAAATCAATCCTACTTTCAGTCCTGTTGGTTGTGGCTGTTGGTGAATCTGGTAGAAACTTGCAGATGAGGATTTCAGCAGTTTCTCTATACATTTGAAGGTCAAGGTTCTCCGCATCTGGGATGTCTCTTGCACCAAAGAAATTTACTCTGGATAAAAGAACCTAGTTCAACATCACAAAATGCATGAGAAGATCCATCACAATTAAAAATGGATATGCCCAGTCCATTCAAGAACTACCAAATTGAACATATAATAAAGAGCAAAAAAGTAAAGGATCACCTTGAGATGTAAAAATAAAACACTTCATCATACTTCATACCTGAGTTGCAGCATGCTTATCATCCCAACTAAACCATGATAAACTTCCTAAATCACCAAATGCATTCTCATTCTGCTCTGTCACATAACTTAGGTATGATGGATCCTTAGTTGCATGATAGAGCCAGGTACTTGCCCATAAGAGTTCATCCCCATAACCAGATGAGTTATAATATTTCGCCACTTGAGGGATGCTGACACTGTAGGAAGCTCTGTAAGTATCAGCAAATGTAAATAGCTGCTTAGCATGTCCTAAGAGAATCTGAGAATAAGTGAGATTGATCTCCTTAAAAACTAGAGATGCTGAGGCCAAAGCAGCAGCAGTTTCTGCAGCAACTTCTGTTCCTGGAAAGGATGAGTTAACTTGAATGAGTGGCCTTTCCTCAGTCATGTCTTCAGGCCTTTCCCAGCAATTGTGGTCCACCTCGGGATCCCCCACCTTCAATCACAAAAAGCCACTATCTCAAAAACCTAAATATCAAGTTCTTATTCCTCGTTTAAACAAGAAACAAATAGCAAAAAGTTGTATAACGGGCAGCATCATTTTATCATGGCAAATTACATTTTTAATCTTATTCGTTGTTATATCTTGTGTAACTAATAAATAAGATTTATTAGATGTAAGTAGGGGTGTAGCCAACCCAAACTAGATTTTGGTCTAAATAGTTCAGGATTACGTAAAAATATATATATATATATATATATATATATATATATATATATATATATATATATATATATATATATATATATATATATTTTTTTTTTTTTTTTTTTCTTAGTGAGATGTCTTCTTAGTGAGTTGCAAGTGTTTCAAGATTCTATCTCACACAATCTCGCACACAAGACATTAAAGAAAACCATTTTAGGTAGATTGGGTTCTTTGGATGCGCTTACTGCTGGCTCTTTTTATGCGATTATTGCTGAATTTCTAGATGCGCTCTATTCTGATTTTGTTCCTTAGATGCGCACTACACTGGTATTTCTTGCACGCGCATGCTGAATATTTGGGGTTCTTGTAAGAACAAAACATATCATATTTTGGGTCTTTTTACGGTATATTCAAGAAACTCAAATCTTTTATGAATTTTTGATTTGAAGCATTTAATCTGAAATTTCCAGATCTATTATTCCTATGCTTTAAGGATTTTGAGTGGTATAATCTGAATATTAAATCTCTTGAGTTGTTCATTGATTTAGAGATTTTCTGTTAAAATTGGAATCTGATTTTTCTATTCAAATTGTTATATTTTCTTTTAAATCAGATTTCTTGGTGTCCATTGTTTAGAAAATTAATTGTGTAATATCCAAGCTCCTTGGTACATTAATTTTAGAGATTTTGATACATATCTCATTGGTTTAATTTTCTGCATACGGCACAAATTTGTGGTGCTTAGTTTGATATTACCTTGATATATTTGGTGTGATAGGACACTGTATTTTTGGATTATTTCACTTGTTACAGTTCTGAAAAGTTTTGTATTGATTGTTAAAGTGGAGTAGTTGTGTGCTGTAAATTTGTCCTAGGTGTGTGAGTGCAAACGTGTGGGTTGGCGACCTTGTGCTTGGCTTGAGAGTGTGTCTCAAGGCCTGGAGCCTCAAGAATCCACTAGGGAGAGTGGAGGTCTTGTGTGAGAGGAGTTGGTGAACTCCGTAGGTTCGACTTGAGAGTATTCTCAGAGCTTGGAGCAGTGTAGGCAGTAGGAATTGTTTTTGATATTTTGTTTGATTGCCTGTGTGACGCGTGTTTGTAAAACAGGTACACTTGTGATAAATAAAATATCTGCAGCTACTTCAGTCTGGACGTAGCACCCTACTTAGGCTTGGTGAGTGTGAACCAAGATATATCGTGTGTCCCTTGTCTCTCTGATTTAATTTCTGAATAATTTTTTTAGAGACTGACAGTTACATTGATTCTGGTTTTAGAGTGTTGTAGCACCTTACTGATTCTATTATAATTGTTGTAGCACTTAAACTGTTTTCTGGTATTTGGAAATTAATCATTTTCTGTTTTGTTTAAGAAAATTACATTGCTGCGTTTATACTCTATAAATTGCTAAGGTACGCATTCTGTTACTACATTGTTCTTAGCATTGTGAAAAATTATTTTGGGCATATAGGGACTGAAGAAAAATTGTGTAATTGTTTACTGAATGTAAAAAGTTTTTGAAAAAATTTAGATCACCTATTCACCTCCCTCTAGGTGTTCTGTAAGCATCCTGGGTAAGAAGCCACTTGCCCAACAAGGATTACGTAATATATATATATATATATATATATATATATATATATATATATATATATATATATATATATATATATTGGAATACAAATATTTTGAAACTAACCTAATATACTAGTTTAGGGTAACTTAAATTATAGGTATGATATGATGTATATTTAAAAATAAAAGGCATGACTTAGGTCTATTAGACTATTTCAACCTATTAAATCTTCTATATTTGTCAAGAATTAAAAAAAAAATCAAATAATATTATTTTATTAATTAAAATTATTTAAATAATTATTTTATTTTATTTTAATTAAAATAAATAGTATCATATAAGTCGATGTATAAATTTATAGTTCAGGTCGTGTAAAAGGAAGTATATGACCTATTTTTTAAATGAGCTTTTTCAAAAAAAATTAACTTGATTTAATTTACAGAATATGCTAAGGCCAACATAACATAAGTCAAGCAGTAGATCCTTTAATTTAACTTATTTACATCCCTAGATATAAGTAGATGAATAAGGATTAAAATTAAATCTAAGACTTTGTTATTGTTTCCCATTATGCATCTTCCTATTTCATGCTAGAATATTATAACTCTGAACCAAAAATAACGGGAAGGACAAAGTCGAAACAAATAGTTCACCTGAATGTAGAGCACATCTTCAAAAGGGTGTGCATTAATAAGATAATCTGTGATCCACTTAAGCGAGTCCAATGCATATTGTAACTGCTGCACCGCATCCATGTGATCTCCATATTCAAGAATCGCCCAAGACAACACAGTAGCAGTGAAAGCCATGGGAAACCCAAATTTCATGAGGTCACCAGCATCATACATTCCTTTGGATAAATCCAAATTCGCTTCACTCCCATCTCGTAGCCCTGAATCCCCTCTCCATGAAACCCTGTTATTATTCAGCTTACCAGCTGCATGCAACACCCCATGCACGTTATTTTTCAATCAAACGCATAGAATTCACCACAACAAAAATCAAATAAGCTTAAAGGGTAAATGAAGAGAAGTAGTACTAATCTATTAGATTACATTTCTGGACGTCAAAAAATTGCAGAGCCAATTCAAGAGAAGAGGCATATTTCTGAACAACGTTGGTGGGGCGAGTAGAGGGTTGAGCCGAATCAGAGTGACGAAACTTAGTTAGTATAGAAAAAACAACACCACCTAGTAAGAGGATTGCGATAAAGGACACTGTTAACCTACAACACAAGGCACCAACGTAGTACTTTTTGTTGGGTTCACCAACCTTGAGCTCCATTCAATTCTTAGTGCAACTGGGAAACTGGAAATAAGGTAATTATGATTTGTAAGTTAAAGTCACGTTGATTAAATAACCCCCTTTTTTTTAAGGTCAGGGGCAATTGGAAAATGGTGGTGTTTGGAAGGTAAGGGATAGTGGAGAGGGAAACAAATTAGAGGGAATGTTAATTACTACTTTGTTTTTGTAATCACGATAGTGATACAACATAAGTAGCAATTGTAAATTATTAAATAATAGGAAAATCCAAGGCGCAATAGCAGTTGGTGATTATTGCGCCGGAGAATGGTGCCACTGAGAAGATCCAGACAAGAATTTGAGGTTCTGCTTTTGGTAGGTAAGCTATGTTCTTTTCCTCTGCTTGAAATATATATTTCTTTTTGGACGATGCTGTTAGCATGTTACTATGTAGGACTTTGATTGCTTTAAATGATTTTTTAATAATTTAGTTGTTCAATAATTTACTTTAAAATTGTGGGTTTAATAATTTATTCTTACTTTTTAATAATTTTTTAAATTTTTAAATGCTTGTTTGTATTAGAAATATTAAATATTAGGGGTTATACGTGGAATCTAATTTTTTATTTCTCTTTCTTCTTCTCTAAAGCTCCACACCAATTTCATGAATGTGTGCAAGAGATAAATTATCTTGTATTTATAGGAAAAATATTAAATTCTTAAATTAAAATATCTATTTAATTTATTAATTATATTTTTTTCAATATAACTTAAAATGAAGCAAACATCTTTTTTATCCATTAAGAAAAAAGTTATATAAAACTGTTATATCTAAAACGTATTAATCTTTTGCATTAGTTATTAATTTACACTCCATAAATATGATATTTATTTTATTTTTTAATATTCTTATTCAAAAAAAAAAATATAAAAAGGAAATTACGAGCTGTATAAAACCTCTACCTATAAAAAGGAAATTAAATATTTTATTTGGTATATTCTAATTATTAATTAGATATATAAAGTTATTAAAACCTCTACCTATATATATATATATATATATATATATATATATATATATATATATATATATATATATAAATGATATTAGTAGTTTTTAAAATGTAATACGAGCTGTTTACCAAAAAAAATGTAATGCGAGTTGATTTTAAGGTTTGTAAATCATATTAATAAATATTTTCTTAACCAATGTTATTAAATTAGGCCCGATTATTGACCCGGTCGAAGTACTGGGTCATGGGTCACTGGTTCAACCGCTTGACCCGGTAAGTATACGTAAATCTATAATTTATATTAAAAAAACTATAAATATACTTAAATACTTGTAAAAAAATATACCAATTTCACATATTTTAATATGAAAATAATAAATTACACATCATTGTCCAACAAAAGATCATTCAAACATATAATATTTGTGATACTGGCATTTCAGGTTCAGTGAACGACATCTCTAACTATAAATCAAATCAAAATTTCCTACATATTGCATAATCAAGATAATATTAGTGATGTAGGTACATAATCTATGTAAGTTAATAAGTTACAAATCACTCAAATATTTCAAAAGAAAACAAATCATTTGTGTTTGAGAGTAAAAAAAAGAAGAAGACATTAATTTATGAAAATAAATTAATTTTTTTTATAGACCAGGTCGGGTCACCAGTTGAACCGACCGAGTCGCCTGTTTTTACGAAAACCGGCCGGGTCGTATACCAGATCTATAACATGGCCGGTCCAATATGAAAATCGGATCGGTTACATGATCGATTCATCGGTTTTCGAGTCGAGTCGACCCGGCCGGGTCGGTCCGATTTTTATAAGATTGTTCTTCACTTAAATTCTTGAAAAGATTTTTTTAATATTCGATTCATATATTACAAAAGTAAACTTAACAAATATTTGTTTCATATAAAAAGTGTTGAATTAATGTAATTTTTTTTTTTTTTTAGTGTTGAATGTAATTTTAACAATAAACATATAAACATATCTAAAAATTATTTATCAGCTCGATTATTCTTAAACTTAGATTCCACGCTCCTTATACATCGGTAAATAAAAATTAAATTATTAGTTAACTCGTAATAATTCTTTACTAAATGTGTAATTTATTTTCAACTTATAGTAAACTTTATTATTTTACTAACTAAATTATATATGTTATTAATCCATCATCTACCATTTATTCATGTATGAAAGGTGTAGAAAAAAATGTCTTTTAAAAATAAAATAAAAATTTTAGTCCAAATTATTTTCAAATAGAAAACGATCAGTTTATTATATACATGAACCTAGCTAAAAGATTTTTCTCAAGGGAGCCACATTTATATAAAACTGTCATGTTCGATAAAATTGTGAGCACCACTCCAAACGTAACTATCATCATCTGCCCTTGATTATATTTATAATCATAAAATTAAATGTTATGTTCATGTTTTATACTAAATAAAAATGATTTAATGTTTATCATGTTGTAGGAGAATTTTATTTTCTATATACACATAAAAATGTATAGGGTCTATATTTTTTTCTCTCTCTTCTTTTTATATAAGTTTGATACACTTTCATAAGATAATTTAAAAAATAAAAAATAAAAAATACTGTTGGCATGTAAACTATAAAAAGACAAAATGCATTAGACGGCTTCTTGTTTTATCTTAAGGCGGGTGAATGGAAGACTAGTGCGGAAGTTTTGTGCCGTTGTCTCGTGTTCACCGTTTGCTGCTTGTTTCTGTGTGTGGCGTGGCATGGCCAACAGTAACAATGATGCAACTGCAGCGGAGATTTTGGTTTTACCCTTGTCCCTTGTTTTACCTTCATTTCTTAATACTATGGCAACCACCGTAAGTTAATCATCAACAATTCAATAATTCATGTTCAATATTTTATATGCAAGAACATGATACAGGATCTTTAGAGATCATGATTTTCACATAAGAGCGTACCTTTCTCCATTAGTGCGGAAGAACTTTGATGATCTAAGATTGTTTCTCAGAGATTGTTTCTCAGAGTCTTTACCCTCTGCTTTCCTTGTATCGTCTATGACAGGGGTCTGATACAACTTTTATGGGCAGACTATGTATCGTCTATGACAGGGATCTGATACAACTTTTATGGGCAGACTATGAAGGAGAGAATTCTGAGAGATAATCATAATCAGAGACTCACCATTTTTCTTTTTATATAACTGAACCATGTCACCAGTTACAGAGTTTCAAATAACTCCCTGTAACTTTCCATTAGTGCGAAACGTCAAAACGTCAATTACCATTAATGCAAAACGTCAATTACCATAAAACCTCTTTTATTATTAATTAAATCAATTGACACGCGTTACACATGACACACAAATAGTTTTACAACCAGGCCATAAAATTAAGCAAGCCACGACCTCCTTTCTTTTCTTTTTTTTCTGGTAGTTTTGTTATGTTGATGCAATTAGCTGGATCAATGCTCAAAGACCGAGTGAAATACCGAGAAAGTGAGAATTCATACGAAGAAAATCACTATAAACTAATTAATGAGGAGTGGCGGAGGGAGGGAAAAGACTCAACTAGTGCCAAAATAACCAACTAATAAAATCTAGTTAGTACCAATAAAAACCTAACCAATACCAATTTTTAAAGAAAACAAAAAACAATTGGCTCTGCCACTGAGTTTGAGCTCTCTGTAGACAATTTAAGTTAGAAAATGATTTTGAAAAGAAATTCTATTGAAATAAATAGGAAAGTAAAAGGGATAACAAGAGTAAATGATAAAAAAATGTTATGTGGGATTAAAAGTGAGAAACACCACTTAATTATACGAGCTATACAGAAATTTGAGAGCTTCGAAAATGGTCCTAAGCATTAATAAGCTGTGAATTTTTTACGTGGTGGAAATGAATCGATTTTTCTTTAGGGGTATAGTATGTTGATATAACAGTGATCTAGTGAGGTAGAAGTAAGAATTTAAGTTCAATTAATGGTGAGTTACTGTAGGTGTATCTCAGGCGAAGACTCATAATCAAGGGTAAATGTTTGACATGATGGCTCTATATTTCTATAATGTAACAACAGAGCGAATTGGTGTGTCAAAGGTGTCTCTTCAATAAAGAAGAAATGTATGTATAAGTGAAAAAGATTCTTCAATTGTTAAGTGTCAATTAAATCATGCTTTAGGGCCAAAAATATGCTGAATATTGTTTAATACGATCAAAGACATGGAAAATATTATCAAATGCAAAATATTTTGGAGTTTTCATGCTTGATATGCTACGGACTTAAAATCATATCGGTTTCAGATTAAAATTGCTATGATAGAGCATTAATGGATCAAAAGAGCCGGAGGAAGACAAGACTCGAGTCAAGAAAAAGCCAAATAAATGTTATTTCATGCTGCATCTCACTGAGTTGCTCGCTTTAGCTAGCAAACATCATAGATGTGTTGTTTTTCAAGCCTCCTCGTTGGCTTGTCCAGTGAGCATATAGTTTTTTCTCGCTATATTGCTCGCTTCAGCGAGCAACCTAGTAAGAAGGGCACCAGAATTACGTAATTTTCAGTATTCTGCTCACTGGTGAGCTTTTCGTAAAAAAAGCCCATGGATCTTGTTATTAAAAAGAGAACAAAAGGGGGCAATTGGTATTCAATTTTTCGCAACTTGGAGAGGAGAAAAGCTATTTTATGGACCTGAGGAGCGGAGGAAAGGATCAAAGTTTCACCGTGGAGATCGACAACTTAGTTCTTTTTATGGATTTCACTAGTTTCTGATATATTGTCTTAGTTTTCTTGACTGTGTCAGGCTAGGTTCTTTTATAGTTAAGGCTAGATTGAACCAACGGATTATTGATGTTATTTACTCTTTCCTTTTAATCTAATGTTCAATCTTTCATGTTATGCAATTAATATGTTATTCATTCCTAGTTTCGTTTATGATTTGGCCAATCTTAAATAAGCACATGAATTTTGCATGACACTCGGGATGTTGGTGTGAAATTTCGATTTGATTAATTGTTAGGTTTTGTTTGATCTAACGATAGACT